GATCACCAATAGGATAGACAGCCCAAACTCCGGCAGCAGAGTCCAAACTCCGGCAGCGCTGTCCAAACTCCGGCAGCACTGTCCAAACTCCGGCAGCAGTAGCTTCTTACATGGTCAGCAGGATGTGTGTGTGTGTGGTCCTCGGTCCTCTCTTCATGGCCTCGTCACAGGTCTCAAATCAGGCTGGTGTCAGTCATAGCCGGGAGCCCCAACATAATCAAAATTTACGAAGACATACTAGTAGCTCGCCCCTTTGATGAACTTGAAGACAACATATTAACTGAAACTGGCATTGGCATTGCCACAGATCAAAATCCTCAATACGAAGAAACCAAAAGTGGCGAGAGTCAACGTAACCCAAGAAGAAGACTGGCCGTAGCCGACAACCCAAACGGCCCCACAAAACCGGAAATTGACGAGAAAACTGGAACGTTGGAGCGTTGCGAGAACCTTCTAGAAGCTCAACGGCCTACGAATGAAACAAGCGGACACTTCCGCCTAAAAAAAAAACTTATATGTAATAGAAGACCTGAGCCGTCAACTCGCACGGCTCAAACTTCAAAAATAATTGTTGAGCGAAGCTCACTTTCCCTCACTTTGTAACTTCTTTGTAAGAGCATCAGAATGTAATGGCTTGAACAATTGATATTAAATTTGGCCTACAGCTAAAGAATACTGAGCACAATTTTTTGGTAAAAAAATATTTGCAAATTTCCTTCTGGATTTTATTTTACGGGTCATGCAATTTCGCTTGTTATTTTAATGTAAGTTGAAAGAAAAATTATATTGGGTTTATGACATATGGGTTTATCTGGTTTCATTTAAATAAGATAACCATATGTTAATTATTGTTTGTAACTGTTTTGTTTACACTTCAATGTTTACTTTCATCATAGGTTAAAGTTGGAATGTAATAATTTATCAATGGAAGTAGTTTTGCTATATTTGTTTTGAGCATGCCTCAAAGGCAACGACATACATTAATATTGGTCGTCGCACCGATAATGCAAATATTGTAAGAAAGTGGTGTCGTGAACAAGAAGAACCAGATGAAGTAGTGGCGGAAGAAGCTGATAATGAAAGGCAGTTAGCTAATCAATTCCAACATGAATTAGATGCACAAAAATGTTACACTTGCACTAACTGCCATCGCCAACAACTAACAGCTTCAAACCAATCACCGATTTGTTCGCGTTGTTGTTAAAATGCAAATAAATTCACGGCGTTAAATAATATGGATGTGTCAAGTGTCCCGAACGAATTAACTGACCTGACGATTGTAGAACAAATGTTGATTGCACGAGTACATCCTGCTATGCCCATTAACAAAGTACAAGCAAATGGGTCAGGATGGCCAGTTTCACTACAAAGGTACAGTATGAACTATCAAATAAATTTGTCATTATTTAGAATTTAAATAATATCGGGCAAACAAACGGTGAATCTGTTGAAAGGGAACATATTGTAGGGTGTTAGCTGCTTTAGCCATTGACAATCTTTAAATAATGCTTCGCTCATTTATGCGTCTAAAGTGTAACGGCAGACCACCCTAGTTATGAATTTGGCCGTGTCATCGCATGAGTAAAATCTTTGGACTTCAAATGTAAAAAAAAAATGAAATTGTGGAGTTGATAATTTAGAGAGCGTGAAAAGTGTGTATCTTTGGAGATCCAGGTGGTGAGCTTCCTTGGGATTCAACTTGGCTCAACAAAGTTGCCTTAGGTCTGAGTTTTTACCAACTTATACAACTGTAAAACTAAGTTACAGGCTGGTTAAATAACGGTAGTACTTGACACCTCTTGGAGCCAACTTTCGGCAACAGGAGTCCCATAACTCTTCTTCCTATCTTAGAACTAAAACTCTTTTAAAATGTCTCGTTTTTACCTTCTAAACACTTTTTTTTAGTGATATAAAGTTTGAATAAGTGAAATAGAAATTAATAGCTATTTTATATTTTTTTATTAAATATAACAAAGAGTTATAACTTTATATCCATTTGATATTTAATGATAGATACCTTGTAAAACTAGAAGTATTAACAAAATAACAAAATTTAGTTTTTAGTAAACAAAATCAAAGCATGTATAATTTTATGTTTAACTATTTTTCCAAAATTTTGCTTTAAATATAAAATTGTTTTGTAAATTCAATGTAATTGCACAACATTTACAAACCGACTTCTTATTGGTGGATATTTGCATGCATTTTGTTTTAGAAATGTTTTAGGAAGCCACGTTAAAACTTTTGTAGATGAATAAAGTGCCGATGTGTTACTGCCATCTTTCCATCTAATATACTAAATATGACGAAAATCTGCTGCTATCCATATATTAAAATATGCAGCAGATTTATAAAATATTAATAATGGTACAAATAAATCTTTACATCTAGGTTTCATTTTAGCTGGAGGGAGAATAAAGTTCAGGTCATATAAGAGTAAATTGACTAAAACTAATAATATTTTATAACAATTTAAGCCTCCTGCCTACTCTACCAGATAGATTAACAAAAAGACTTTGAGTTTAATTTTGGAACTGTCTGTTGTACATTGAGCTGACCGGCGATTACTTGTTTCTATTAAAAAATCATGTCTATTGCATTACGCATTTATTTAGAAAAACTAAACCTACGATACTAGGGTGACAAAAAAGTCTGGAAACGGCTTAATATCTTTTTAACTAAACCCGTTAGAAAAGTCAAACTTTTAACATCAACTTACATGTATAAAAACTACTTTTTCCAAGCATTTTCATGTTTTTACCTCCACCAGGGGACGACCCGTAAGGAGTAGGTACAAAATCTTTAATGTAAGCATAGGTTGATATGCACACTATTTTAAAGGTCTGGTCAAGTGGAGTTCATTGCCGGAAACCCTTATCTCAAAAGGTTCATTCGTTACAAAATGGTGGCATTTCAAAGTTCTTGTGGAATATACCTTTACAGGCCTTAATATTGGTAAATACTCGTATTAAACATTATCTTGAGAGCTGAAATTGTATTTTAAAGTCAACTAGCCCATAGACTAAGTTTATTCAATCTTCAAAACAAATTTAAACGGGTTTCAGATTTCCCGGCTTATTTTGACTATGAGTATTTACCATTACTAAGGCGTGTGCAGGTATATTCCACAAGAACTTTGAAATGCCGCCATTTTGTAACGAATGAACCTTTTTTGACGCGGTTTCCGGCAATAAACTCCACTTGATCAGAACTTTAAAATGGTGTGCATATTAACCTATGCTTACATTAAAGATTATGTACCTACTCCTCGTGGGCCGTCCCCTGGTGAAGGTAAAAAAATGGTAATACTTGCAAAAAGTAGTTTTCATACATATAAGTTGATGTGAAAGGTTTGAATTTTCTAACGAATTTAGTTAAAAAGATATCAAGCCGTTTCCAGACTTTTTTGTCACCCTGTATACCTCATTGATATTTTTGCATAAACAAACATTGGATTTACAAATGTTAAAATGTGTTCACTTTTAAATAGGATTCTACAATGATCATGGCGTTTAGATTATTTTATATTTAAATATATAGGTTTAAGGTGTTTTAAGAAAGGTTAAACATGGAATACTCATTTTTAACTAAATTGAGTGTGTAAAAAATTACGGGAACTAGTCAAAAACTGTTTGAATTAAATTCCAGATATTTCTTTTTCTGAGGAAATGTTTAACAGATATTATACATGTAACGAGTTCTTTTCAAACTTGTAAAACAGCGTCTTATTAACTACGACACACTTGTTTGCCGCGTAAATAAATATTGGCATAGTGGGTAACATGTGGCTGGCGGCTCTTTATATGCTAAAGCGTAATTTCTCTTAGTCTTATCAGGTCAACTGTTAAAAAAAAACTAGCCCTATCAGTTCAACTGTTAAATAAATCACTTAGTCTTCTCGGGTCAATTGTTAAAAAAATTAAATGTTTGGTTGTGTTAAAATAACAAAGAATCCACGTCCAAAAGTATTCTACCATTTGTAACATGCCCTACGACTTCCTACAAAAATAAACTTTTGTAATATGAGCCTTCTTGGGTCCTCCGTTTATCATAAACTTAAATTATTTTCACTAGTGTTAAGTTAATAGTGTATTTTAATTAACAGCAGTAGTGTTTTTCTACAGTTATATTTTTTTGCACTGTTTATAGTATTTAGATAAGATAAGGGATTCAATCAACGGCTTGCATATTCAAGTTGAAGATAGAAACTAGTTCTGTAGTGAAATTAATGCATTAAGTCTGTGAATATGAAAAAATACCTTGTAATACGGTTTAGAACCTAATTATCTCATAACCTGGAGGTCTGTAACAAACTGCATTTATTACAATGTTTCACTTATTGTAATGGGCGATATTTGTTAATATTATTGAGCTATGAAACATTTTATGATAATAATGAATTAATTAACTCTATTTGTTTCATCGTAATTGATCATCATATTAAAAACGTTATCCACAGTCATTATCGATTAATCGAAGGTTCCATTTAATTCTAATCAGATATCAGGGATGTCTACATCAGAATGTACTCCAACTAACAGATTCAACCCAAGATTTCATTAACCGTCACGTAAGCCTTATAGAACCTTATGAAGGTTTTGTATGGTTAAGTAAAAAAGTGACAATTACTATCTTTTACCTCCCGTAAAACATCTGACAGCCAAAAGGAAAACATTCAAAGAAGAAATATTGAAAAAAATCTTACGGCAGAGGGTATAATATAACTTGTTAGTATAAATGTATAATATCTGGTTTAACATATGTGTTTTCGCAATGCGGTTACTTTACACTGCTGCTGGTTAGTAAATACTACTACATTTAATTTACAAATTCTGTTTTGAATGTTCTCTGCGTGTAGCTATTTCTTAACAAGTCATAAGAAAATGTGTACGTTGGAGATAAAAAAAACAACAATGAACACGTTGGTGTAACGTGTTTGGAAATGGTTTGACAATGGGACAATACGTATAAAAGTAAGACGACGGATGAAATTCATTCAATAACGTCGCCATGTTTGTTGTAGCTCTTGCTCCGTTGTTGTTGTCAGCTGTTGTCCTCGCTGACGGCTCTGCTGATGATGGCATCGGACCAATCACCGTCTCCGCCACCTCCAACGTGCTCACTGTCAAACTGGGTATGTGCAGACTACCACCAATGAATACAGACCTTATGCTACCACATACAAACCAACAACATACACTTCATTAACAAACAACATGTATGTGTATTATATTAGACAATTACTTGCAACAATAGACAACTAACTACTAACAACATTACATCGTATAACCACCTAAGTTATTTACCTAAGTATATTTTTACTTAGTAAGTAAGTAGTAAGTTAGTTACCTAAGTATATTTTTGACTGCTACCTTCTGTAGTGTATTTAAACTCGACCTGTGTGTCACATTACATCCAGGGTATTCTCCGCGCTAAGAAGCTCGACCTTAACCGGGATGCGGTGTAGGTAATCAAGTATCCAAATGCCAAAAACGGTGAGAGCCCTGAGGGCTTAGGTAACATGTTGGCCTGACTTGAAGTAATGTGACAAACAATTCCAGGTCTGTGTCCAACAGAGTAGAGGGGTTTTTTTAGTAAATAGTCTGTGATAGATTCAGGAGTCTCACACTACAGGCTGGCTACCAGTGTGCGTAAAAGCATTTTCCCTCCTCTCCCTTAAAAAAAGTGTATTTCAACTTAGGTTGGGTGTTTGTGTATTGTTAGTTGTAATGTGTTAGTTAAGTTGTTTCACCTGAGGACGGGATCAGATTCCAGATCTCGAAACGTTATGTATTGTTTTTTACAATCGTGATGGAAAATGTCCACAATATACCTTTGAACAACAATATCATTAGATCGTATAACCAACAATATAAACTCGACAACAATTAGTATTACATGGTAATGCCAATTACTTACAACTAAAGTATTGCCTGTTCCATTGTTACATGCAATTTACAAAATAACCCTTATTGACTGTGTATCCCTTATTATCCTTGTGATGAAGTTTTCAATATAAGCTCGTTTTATGTTATTTATAACTATTGCAAATGTTGACTGCCATCTTATCGCATTTATCCTATTGTAAACCAGTTATACCGTTTATATAAAGAAATAAAATAAATGCAACTAAATACCGACACTATTCACTCAATAAGCCATCAGTACTATAACATCGTGCCATGATTACAAAGAAGAAACAGCTAAAATCATTGAAACGACAAACGTGGAATAAAAAAATAAAAAAAAAACTTATACGATTAGGATAATCATAACATTTTACAACAAATGTCTTTATTCAAGAAATCTAAATTAAATAAACCGCAAACGACCTTTCATTAACAAATATACTAGTAACACTAAAAAGTATTGCCTAAGATTTTAATAACAAAAGTTAACAATTTTTACCTTTGAGTAATTATATGTATATTTGTTTTCAATTTTGTAGTTAAGAAAAAAAAATAATGTTTATAATAATAAAACTACTAGATATCGCCTAAAACGTGCATTTACGTGATATTGTAATAAAGTTTATTGCTCGTAATATAGAGCTACAGTATTTTAAAGAGGAGTATGATTAATTAGTTCTGTAACTTTTTATTGTTATTCTTACGGAGGATGTTACTGTTGTATTAAAGCCAGACATTTAATACAATAGAAAATGTTAACATTGTTAAGCCAGAGGTCTAGCAGAATAAAACACTGTCTGACATGATGAAAACTAAGATATGCTTAAACTGATAGGCCTATAGAACTAAATAACTTAAAAAAATTATCTTACAAATAAATGTTAAATTAAATTAACCAATTTAAAACTTATGGGTATCGGGATTATTTTTGATAGTATTTTATGTTTTTCACTGTCCTCTATGCCGTGCTCTATGCTCTATGTCCGTTGTATTTAATCTTTAATATTGCTTAGTCCAAACTATAATCGGTAAAAAATTAAAACTTTAGATTCTTTAAATCTTGTTTCAAACGAACTCTAGGTAATATAAATCGGTTGTAACGAGGTTCCAGTTATATTTACACGACGACATAAAATATAATTATCATCCCATGGATCATCTAAAAACAAAAAATTAACTAATGCTTCTGTTTGTTTTAAAAAGATGTTTTGTTATTTACTATATTTCCTTGACATATGACCAATTTTGACTAAATACAGCAATATGCAGTAGTTGTAAACTTAAGGTTATCCTCTGGTTATGAAACAAAATATAGTGAAACATTTAGTTGAGGCCAGCACACTCAAGTGTCACCAGCATTAAATACATAGTACGCTATTTAAATACAATGATTTGATGCGGAAGTAAAATTTGAAGAATACACGTCTTGTAACCGTAGTTTTGTCTGTTTTAGCGGCGCCACCTGGCAAGTTCAACCTAGTCTCGTTCCATATGAGGCTGGACCACATGATCACAGTACCAGAACAAGGTACCATCGCTTCCCCTAACCTGCTTCCTCCCCAGGACTACAGGGATGGTGCCTTCGTCTGGAACGGTCCAGTCATAGGCAAGACAGAGTGTGACCTCAAAGGCAAGCCTATCTACTACTGGGTACGTGTTGAGGAGAATGGCCTGGGCAAGAACGGGATACCCAAGACCGCCATCATCAACTGATGTGTTACGCTGCTAACCACTTCACTGTAAAAATATAAGAAATAAAAATCATAATGCAGTTCTTTCTGAACTTTAAAACTTCCTTGTCATGATTCTTAGCAAATTTAATATCTGGAGGGCTTACGATGATATATTCTATCCTACGTTACAAATTATAAAAAAAAAATCATGTTCGTATTCATTTTAGATGGGGACGCCACCTATGCTCGTATTTAAACCTAAATATGAGTTAAGGATGAATTTAGAATAGAGTATGATGCATTGTTTGGCTTTGTTACAGACTAAGATCAGATCTTTCATTAGTCATTACCATTTATTGAAAGTCCAATGGCCAAGGACTGCTAGGTCATGTTTCAAACCACTTTTCTTAGGATCGAACAGGCGACCTTACGATAATTTTCTTTTAAACCTCACATAATATTTTTTCAAAATACATGTATGCTTATTAATATTAACCCAGCATGGTTCCAGTCTGCTATTAAAACCTTTTGTACATATTATATTACCAGTTCATTGCATGCATTTGCGTACTTAAATTTTGGCAAGTCTTGTAATGTTTTTCCATAAATAGAAAACAACGTTTTATTGTGAGATTAAATGGAATTTATAATATTCTATACATTATTAAATGGCGAAGGAAAACTCACGATACACTTCATAGAACAACATCGGAATGATTATTTAGGGTGTAAGCTCTCAAAGTTATCGAGTTTAGATCTTATGTGACGACTCTCTTGAGTTCTAATTTAAACCATTCTGAATTCATATTATTTTTAATATACGGATGTGTTTGAGGCATAGTCCTCTTAAAAATATTTTGGGGTTCGTTAACAACTTTCTACGACATCTAAAATAAATAATGTGTTCCTAGAATCAATTGTGCAATACTTTATGACGTATTTTTTTGAGCTAGTGTTTAAGAGGATACAGTTTAATTATGGTTACTAATTTAATTCCGATATTTTAGAGTAAATGGTTAGTTTCATGGTTTGTATAAAAGTATATTGTACTAGTTTATCAAATGTTTGGATTATACTGAAGGACATTTAAAGCGATTAATTACCACTTTATTCAGCAGGGCCTGTCATAGTATTGTGTTCTTGTTTTGTGTTTTTGTGGAAACTCATAAGAATAAAAGAGAAACAATTTTCAGATCACTAAGCAAACAAATTTTTAAAATATATCACAGAATTAGGTATTTCCGAAGTTCGAGTGACATATTGAACCATTTTCGATTTAACAACGAGATACTATAAAACAAAATAAAAAAAATAAAATCACTGTTTCAGTGGTCAATATTTTCATATACCTCAAATTATCTATAAATACCTTGAACTAAACGTACGTATAACAGAAATGTGAGTGAGGTAGGGTACCAAATGTTTATTTAAATAAGCTGTTACGTCTCAAATTAGAACATTTTTATTCGACGAGGAACACTTTTTGCATTTAAACATCGTATTTTGTATGTACTTATTTCATTAATAAATGTTTAAATTATTTTAAAATCCGTTTTTGTAAATTAATTGAGATTAAATACTTGCTGACAATTTTCCGCACAATGGGGATCGTTGTGTTAGAATGAGGCAATAACAACCAACACAAATTGTATAGCATATGCTTTCTCATTCATAAGTATAAACTATTTAAGGGCAAGTATAATATGGAGACAATTGTGTCAATTATTTACAAGGAAAAGAACAAAGACGATAACCATTTTGTATTATGCTCACAATACCTATTATTTTCCTTGAATGCTATGAACACTTGTGCAAAAACAGATGCCAAGTGAAGTATAATAAAAGGACCAACAATGGAATGACAAGTTGGTTTAATACACGACGCAATGTTGGTAGCACTGGTGATAATTATAGTTAGTGTCTTGGCACACCTGGGGGATGCGGCGGGCACTGGTACTCCAGCTGACTTCAAAGACGCCATAGTGACGGCGAACAATAATATCATCACCTTCAAACTTCGTAAGACGTCTTTGGTTATATAATGCATACTTTACTATAAACCGCCTTCTCTTTCTAATGAATAGAATTTTACCATTAACAAATAAGGAAAAAATCTTGATTCTTTCGTTAGAACCATTAACAAAAAGCCCAATGGTAATTCACTATTTAGTCATTTAACGTAAATTCTTTGAGTGGTAGAGCTGGTATACTGTCTGTCTTCAAGTCTTAAGGAACGTCAAGCCAAATTCCGTAGGAAATAAATAAACTTTAAGTTCTAATGTAGGATTGTGATGATTTTCGTAGCAGCGGACCCGGGACTGTTCACCAAGATCTCGCTACACATGGACCTAGACCAGGTGGTGGCTGCGCCTCAGCAGGGTGGCATAGCGACAGTGGACCTGACACCAGACATATACTACAGGGACGGCTATTGGGTCTGGCAGGGAGACAGCGGCAAGGGACAGAACTTCAACCTGAAGGGCGCCACCCTGTACTACTGGGTCCGCGCCGAGGAGAGTGGCGGTGTAGGAGTCAACTCTAACCCAAAACAGACCGTCATCCTGTAGAAGTTTGTGTGTATTTGGTAAAAGTAAAATAATGAAAAATATCTTTATTCTTTTTTACCTATGTCAATGACTTTTAGGTAACATTGCATACTTTTGATATGGACCATCTACAGCTTATGTTTTAATCACGTAGACTAATTGACCATAATTGAATTAGCCACTCGCAGAGTAACTGTTAGAAGAATTTTTGCCTCAGGATTTGGAGAAGCCTATTGCGCATGCGCGAAACAAGAGCTCAATGGGTCTTGGGGACGGTGACAGATCAAGTCCGTTTGCACATTGTTCTGCTGCATGTCCAATTTATGTTGCGAGAGGATCTCCTATTTTATTTCTTAGTTTGTATATTCCACAATAGCTTATAACACACAAAATACTCAATAGAGGCTAAATAAGAATATGTACCTTACAGTTTGGCTTAGTGAAAACATTGACATTCGTTACCAGCCTACCCAGAATTTTGACTCAAAATCTGGCTACATCTCTGACATTAATAGACAAAACTTTTAATAAACAGTGTATGAGGCAATTAGCCATGACCTTAAATCTTTCTCTTAGAATTATATTGCAAGATGTCGTTTGCTTGATGTCTCCATTACACCCATCATTCTCCATCATCGGAGAATGTATGATTACTTGTTTATTAAATTTCTTTATATTCATGTTTATATTCTCTCTCGGCAATTAACTTGCCTAAAACCTATATCATATAAAAAATTAAAAAAACTACTTATTACCTAAGTGTATGCTTATAAGGAATTATTTGGAAATGTGTTACTTGCCATGAGTTGTGTTGGATCTAATATAGTAAAGATTTTACCCAGTATAAATCCATTGAGGTTTTAACCGACCTTATTGAATTAGGGACAGTTAACGCGTTTCGTCTATGTCTTGCTAATAATGGCTAGAAGACATTAATTCCGTTTTAAAAATATTGTTGTTTGGCTGTTATAGAATGTGTAAAAGTGTTTTTGTGTTACAACATCGTTATTCATACACACCTTGAAATAACATTGTTATGCCTATAAAGCCGAGATATGCATTTTGAAACACTCTGTATCGTAAAATTACTAATTTCGGAGCTGGAAAAGCGAAAATCGTAGTTTACCATCCATTGTGAGAGCTTGTATGCGTTTTTGAAAGACGAATCGATGCGTACGTACATAATAAAAAAAATAGGGATCACGCCAGGATATTTAAAATATACAGTCATACATTTGAATAAAGTTAAATACTCGAACAAAAACTGTATATCCAAATAAAGTTGAATCGATAGCTGTCACATCTAACTTAATAATTTTCTGTGCAGGTCTTTTTGTGTTTTGTGAGCATGGGAGTGACATAGAAGTAGAAGTTCAAAATTATTTAATCGGTAAAAATGTAAATTAAAATTTTATTTTCACCTACTCTTATGCTTTTTGATATCATGACATGTTCATTTGATGTTATCTAAATTGAAATGAAAAGAATCGTTATATTTGACAGTTACTGTTCAATCTATTACTTATTAGGTTAAATTAAACTTAGTAGATTGTATCTCAGTAGTTAGCAAGTAGGTCAGATGCAAAGTACATCTGATCAAATGTCTTTATTGTATCCAGCCAAAGCCAGGATAATCTCGTTCCGCTGCATGTCGGAAATACATAAAGTTGATATTAACAAACTTATGCAAACATATAAGTTCTTATGTCTGATCAAATTGTAGTAACTATACACTTATTCTATTTAAGGTTCTTGTAAACTAGATGAATTGAATCATGTTATCATTTTATAGTAGAAACTCGCCTTTGGCTCGCCCCAGGCCCCCTAGCTGTTAGTCGTCATTAGTAGATAGTAGTTTAGTTGTAACAAAGCGGGTAACAAAGCAGTCAGTGAAACAGTCAATATTACATTATATCAAAACAATTTCACGAATATATTTGAGGAGGTTGGCAAGTTAATATCAAGCTCAAACTTAAAGAACCCCTTATAAAAAAATCAATTATAAAGCTTCAACTTATAGAAGCCCTTATAAAAAATCAATTTCAAAGTTGCGGTAAGAGAATATGTTAGTAAAGCATTTTTACAACTGAGTTTTTGGTCAATCAAAGTGATAATATAACTGGGGTTGTAATGGCGAAAATCGATATTGAAGTAATAATCATTTCACAATATATATTAGAGTAGATTGATAAGTTGATAATAGTAAAGTATTATATGAAGTAAATAGATTATAGTAAATATTCCTGTATATATTAATGAAAATAGATAAAGTTATTTTTGTTTCCCTGTCAGTTAGCCATAAACTGTATGGCATATCCAGTTCCGCCACGAGGAGGCCAGGAAATGTCGGAACCATATTAACAATTATTTACAAATGTACAAGTTAGTAAACTTTTTTATAAGATAAGTAGATTGATAAGTATGTAGATGTAGACAACCGGAGAACACTTTTTTTACAAACTGTGCATGATAATCGTTTTTTTTTTGTTATTTTTAACGTTATCAAAACTATTACATATTTTATAATTTAAAAAATAACACACGTGATGTTATGCGATTTACATAGGAATGGTTTGTTTTTATATAAGGCAATATTATCAATGTTTAAACTAAATTACCAGCGGATTACGTCTTGAGGATATTGGAACGTAATTGAAAAGCTTGCAAATATCGTACCGACTAACCAAACTACACGTCGCAGTCTTTTTGGTTTGTGACCCAGAGGCTGGAGGACTAATCAAAAACAATTCCAACAACATCCCATATTTTGTAAATTTGACATTAGAACAGATTTGTATAATTCTGAAATGCCATGACATAAAACCGTAAGTAAATCAATGACTTTTGAAAGGGAAGCCTTCGACTTACTAATTTTGTACTTTTAACCTGTTTATTTTTTTGTCAGGCCCTTATTTATTGGTTTTATGTGCATTCCATGAGTCGTTATAGTTTTTTGTTACATCAAAGCCAAATTCATTAAATGTATCTCGTATTCTAACCCTCTGAATATTAACACGAAGTTGTAAATACAAGGCAAAGTTACGAGTAGGCCAGTATTACTGTTTGGAAAAAATGAAGGTTCAATCATTTTGTTTAGAAATTAACTACTAGGATAGAAACTCATATCTTCCAAACTCAATTTATGGTTAATGCTATCCATTAAACGACCTTTTGAGTTGTCCTGTCTCTATTTTCCCCTTCCATTTCTTCATCCTCGAATCCATATTCTTCAACTTTTAACACAATTAGTAGGCTTTTTATCTTTGATAAGAAGCCTTCCACGTGGGGGTGAAATTTGTCTCAAAAGAAGGCTGTCCATTTCCGTTTGAGGTATTCCGTTCTCGTTCTCATCCTTGAACATTCTTGTTCAGAGAGTGTTGCTTTAACTCTTTGGTCCTATAGTACCAATGGCTAGAATACTGAGAACTACATATCCACATTATATTCTCAATTATGAGGATTCCTTAATAAATAACTGGTTACTTCATTGTTACCCATCAGCAGGTTTCTGGTATTTATAAATCGTAACACTGAGATACACATCTTTAGAACTCCTCAAACATTTGAGGGGTTTTTTAATATTTGGATGTAACCACATGACAGTTGTAATAAAAATGCTCCCCGCAAATCAATTGTTTTCTATTCTTCTCTTCCTCGAAGACCGTGCCTGGCAATCCACCCACAGACTGACCTTCTTTAATCTATAAGGCTCTATTAATTCCAGTAGTTCTCCACTCCAAACACATAGTGGGCCATTTTTCACTACGGTTCGGGAAAAGGTACGAGACAGGTGTTTAGACAGTTTTTTTCGAAAACACTGAACCTCTTCAAAAGAAGAACCAAAATGACGCAAGTTGTACTCCTGAACAGCCCTTCTATTCACCTAAGGGTGTTTTTGAGAATAATGTATATTCTCGTTCCTGATTTGTTCACAGTGTGTCAACCTGTACCTCTTTTTTGCCGCTTCTACCTGCTCTTCCCGAGTAGTGTCTAAAACTTTGGGGCTACCTCTTTTTATTTTATTTAGTCTACCAGAATCTTTGGTTTTCTTAACAACTGTCTAAGAGGGTGATTCTGATATTTGGGTTAAATAATTGTATAAACATTCGATATTACTAACAGTTTGATTGACGGAAAATTTAAGTTTTGTAACAGATTAGTGTCTACCGACGAACGCTGAATTCGCCGTGATAAGAGAGGAAAGAGGAGTTAAAATATTGAAAACAGCCTATCTTTTTTTGGATTCATCACTCTCTTGAGGACGGATTTTGTTCACCGCGTTAGAATCAAAGAGGTAGAACCACCCGTCATGACGCAAAAAAACCACTGCTGCCAATTGAACCGTGGTAGCACGATTAATAAAAAAAATAGCCATCAACACAGACACCGGGCATTGCCGTTTCCAACACTGATGATAAGGAACTGGCCACCACGCCCAAGCCAGCGTTGCAGAACGGATACAACCCTTCCCCCACATGCGCCATTTCCTTGATGGTTGGTCGATCGTTTCCACTGACGAAGTTTCTGGCAAGAACCTTGGGGAACAGTAACCTAAGTAAAATGCTATACTCACGGCGAGATTGCGTATACAAGCGATCGTTGGCCATGAGTAAATACTGAATCCACCACAGAACACTCCTTCCACACTTAATTCTTTTGTCATGCCAAGAATTAAATTAGGTTCGTCTATCGTGCAGCTTGGAGAAATGTTGCTATTTGTAATAACGAAACAATGATAGAATGCCTGCCTGCAGCAATTAAGCCTGTAGCGATTTAGCAATAGTAAGGCTTGTGCCAATGTTTTTACAGTAGTGTTTGTAGCAACGTAACAGTGACTGTCGTGGTGTAAACTGTGGAATCCACTGAAACAATACGACTATGAATATTCACATGCCGTCCTCAACGTCCATTAAACATGCAACGTCCTTGAAATAACCGCTTTATTATTTTCTCCTACTTGTCCCTAAGTAAAAATGCGAATAAATTACTTTAGCACTCTTTATTGCAATTTCCTTCATTTTTTTCCATGCCGTTATACAATGTATATTT